GGTACAGCCGGGCCCTGGACTGCTGGAGCTTGTCCCGGTTCACCGCAGACCATTGCTGCAGCCTCGGCAGGGCCCGCTTCCCTGTGGGCACACTCCAATTCTGTGGGCTCCTAGTGTGGATCCACCAGCAGCATGCTAAACATCCTGCAAGTCAGACACCAGCCCACTGCTTGCCTTGGCCTCCCTCCCTGGGGGTCTGCCCCAAGGAACCCTCTACTGGGAGACCCACCCTGGCCCGTGGTAGGGCAGTCACTGCTGTTGCGGCTCTTCCCTCGCCCGGAGCGGTCACCACAGCCTGGGCAGAGCTGCTGCCACAGTCTACGGATAAGGAAACTGCACCTACCCAGAGGCCCCACGCTCCAGGCAGAGCCGCGACTGGGACCCAGGGCCAGCACCCCCACTGCAGGCTCAGTGGGGGCAGAACTGCGGTGGTGTGTGCCTCAGCTTGGGTGAGCCTCCAGAACTGGCCCGGGCTCACACGGGGTCAGCATAACAAGTGAAGGCCAGCCGCAGCCTTGGCGTGCTGGGAAAGGGCCAGCCAGACATATCCCAGCAATGCCTCATGGCAGGAATTGTTGAGTCCTGTGACCAAGAGCCCCTTGGGGGCACAGCATCGGGTCTCCTCCAGGAAGCCCAGGGATGCCTGGGGTCATTCTCAGGGCAGTAGCTGGGTGGGGATGGCTGCCTCTGGATCCCGGTGCACCAGGCCTCTTGCCCGCTTGAGCCAGGAGAAGGCCCATGGTGTCGTTATACCCTTCTGCTGGGCTGCGGCCAACTCGCTTCCCAGCTCCCCCCCTCTTCCAGATGCAAGAGCTCCTGCCCTGGGGCCAGGATGCTGCTGGGCTGAGTCCAGGCCAGAGGAAAGGCCCAGTCACTGATATTTTAAGGGTTCTAACAATCTAGGTTTTTTGTTTGTTTAAAAAACAAACAAACAAATATAACAAGTTTACAGAAAATGTGATGAACGATTTGTGGTTGATGTATACTTTGGGTGAAAGATGTGATTGCCTGTGTCTGGAGAAGTGGCCTGGGGCTGCCCTGAGGCCCTTCTAGAACCCGCAGAGGGGCCAGGGCAGGGCCTAGAGGGAGGCCTTTGTAGAGCCCACTGCCTGGTCTGAGGCTGGCGGTTCACCGCGCTTGCTGTGCGGTGTGTCTGCCCTTCCATCCGTCCCCCCTGTTTTGTCTTGTTTTGACTACAAGTTCTCATTAGAAAGACGGATCCCAGCCCAGCCAGGTGTCCCGGAGGGGCAGGCTGTTCCCACAGGTTTCCTAGTTAGTATCTGCTTGTGCTTCTGATCATATACACCGCAGGCCAGCCCTGTTCTCATTCCAGGGCTCAGATATGGGACTTCAGAGGCTGTCCCCCAGGCTAGAAACTGTTTCCGTGATTTTACCTGATCGGAAGGTCCTCAGAACCAGTGGCTCTCTCTGTGAAAGTGGGGCTCACCCCACAGTGGCTCAGGAGGTCCGTGTGTGGAGTCACGGAGTGCAGGATGCTGGCTTCTTGCAGAAGGAGGTGGCCCGCGGGCATCTGAGGAGAGAGGACTGGCTGCTTTCTGTGGCAGTATGAAGGTCTAGGTGGCCCATGGGGGCTGCATGGTGTGTACGCCCCAGGCCACTTCTCCAGACACATCCAGTCACATCTTTCACCCAAAGTATGCATCCGTCATACTGATACAAAGGCCTCCCTCCAGGCCCTGCCCTGTCCCCTCTGCGGGTTCTGGAAGGGCCTCAGGGCAGCCCCAGGCCACCTCCAGCACCCGGGTGCTGAGAAGCTGATGTTAGGGCTGTGGTGGGGCGGGGCCCAGGAGCCCACACAGTGTAGCTGCTGGACAGAGAGGGCCTGGCAGAGACACCCGTCCGGCTCTGGGACTCCAGCCCCGCCTCCTGCCCAGGCTGTGGAGGCCAGGGGTGGGTGCACACGTGGGGGTGTGAGCATTGCACATGTGCTTGCACGTGCGTGGTGGGGCGCCTCAAACTCCCACCTCCTCACCACGCCCACATGCGCTCCAAGTAGTGTCTGTACCTGCCCGTGGTGGGGCCAGTGTCCCCCAGGGACCCAAGGGTTTGGTTAGACATCATTTTGGGTACCTGTGAGGGTGTTTCTGGATGACTTTAGCATTAAATCTGTGGAGTGAGAGGGGTGGGCCTTATCCAATCCCCTGAAGGCCTGAACAGAACGGAAAGCCAGACCCTCCCCTAAGGAGGTAAGCGCTCCTCCTACCTGGGCCCTTGAGCTGGGACCGAGGTTTTGTCCAGCCCTGGCAAGAACTGTACCCCTGCAGATCTTGGGGTATCTGGGCCCCACACTTGCGTAGCCAGCTCCTCAGAAGAAGGCCCTGTGTATAGGCATCCTGCTGGTCTGTTTCTCTGGAAAGCCCTGGCTAGTCCACCCTTTACAGCATGTTGCTCTGGTTTTTCTCTGCAGGCCTCTGACCACAGTCTGCTGGGCCTACCCTCTGTACCATGATGCGGGGCTGGGACCAGGAAGGGACCCTGAGGGTAGGTGGTGAGGTGCTGCGGCCTGCAGTTGGGTGGCAGCATCCAGGGTGGAGAGGTAGGGACGGTGGGGGCCTCCGTGTTCTCTAGGGCCTGTGTGGGAGGACCAGCCTGTGAGCAGCAAGATTGGCCCTCAAGCAGGGCAGGAGGCCTGAAAGCAATGAGTTAAGAGTGACCGACTGTCTGTAAGGGGGTATGGCACTCGGGGTCCTGGGACCACTGGGCACCAGTAAGTATCAAGTGCCCGCATGTGGAGAGTGGAGAATGAGCTGCGGTCTTCAGGACTTTCTCATCACTGGAGGGACCGCCTCGATTTCCTCCCGCAGGGAGGCTTGTGGCCCTGTGCTGACGAGTGGAGAGAGGGAAGGAAGGAGGGAGCATGGAGCTCCTGGCCCCCTCGGGCTGTTTGCACTTGCTGCTCCTCTGTGGGAGGCTCTAACCCTAGCGCCTTCCCTTGGGCTTCCCAGCTGGGGCTGCCGTTGTGTCCGTTTGAGCCAGCTGCCTTCTGAGCTGGCGCCTGGGGCTGAGCCGGCCTGGTCAGTGTTTGCTGCCAGCTTTGTGTACGCAAAGGTGGGAGACCCCGCGTCTGGAATCGACCTGAGACCCATAGGCAGGGCAGGGGCTGGGAGGTCTTACATTGAGCAGGGGTTCCATTGTCAGGGTGTGGGGGGAGCGGCCCCCTTGGACTGAGATGAGCCAGGGTTCTGAGGGGTTCATCTGACCGGGACTCCAGGAGTGGCTGCCGAAATGCCAGCAGCCTGTGGGTGTCCCTGGGGTCTGATATTCCAGAAGGCCAGCGTGGTCTGAGAAGTCAGGGTCCACGTGCTGCCGTCACAGAAGCCTGTGGAGCTTCGGGCAGAGCCACGTGGCATGGGCCAAGCTGGCCATCATCTTCCAAGCTGAACAGCTTCAGCAAGGGAGGGTTCCCAGCCTTTCGGATGTCCCAGGGCAGGCGCCCCTGCCAGCCCAACCTCCCCTCTCCCTTCCCGCTGCCCCTCAGTGAGCCCTGGGGAGGGGGTGGGGATGCAGGGTGAACCCCCCCCCCATGCAGGAGGATGCACACTCCAGCCCTTAGTGTCACATCAGAGGTGAGAGGCTTTGGTGGGGCTGTCCTCCGTCTTTGTGACTGTGGAGCGGGCCCCTCAGGAGAATCCTGGGAGTGTGGAGTGTCCAACCTGAGAGACGAGGAGTCTGCTGCTGCCTGCAGCCACGCATGGCTGCTCCCAGCCCAGGCTGTGGGGTGGCACAGAGCAGGACAGTCGTGGGGGCTTCCGTGCCTGGAAGGGCAGCGCTAGTCCGGCCAGCCGTGTTGGTGCACCTCACTAGTTCTGGGGATTGTGGGCCCCTCACACGGACAGGAGGTGGCGTGTAGTGTGGTCGGAGGACCTCACCTGCCAAGCACAGCGTGTCCCCGTCTCCATCGCCAGGCCAGGGGACCACAACAGACTGGGAGCTGCCCAGGTGGACTGAGTCCTGGCTGGGGGGCCAGGTGCCCACCTGAGCACAGAGGCCAGCCCTGGAGAGGCTGCCACAGTCACCCCTCGGGTTCTTAAGAAGCACTTCCTGTGGGGCCGTGAGGGTATCACCTGGAATGTGGGGGAGCACCTCAGCCATGGGCATCACCTTCATTCGGGCCCTCCTCCCCTCCCTCTTGCGTGAATGCTTTCCCATTGGGTCCTTCCCTTTTCTTCAGCAGCCCTGTGGAGATGGTACCTCCCACCCTACCCCATGGACCCAGCACGAGGCTGGTGGGTGACACTACACCTGGTCACCACCAGTAAAGGCAGGCTCTCCTGGGCTCTGGGCTCACTGGCAGGACCAGCTCTACATAGTAGGGGCTGTGTACGGTGCTGTGGGCACCCTTCTACTACGGTTGGCATCGGCACAGCAGGGCATGCTCAGTAAATCCCTGCTGGGTATCAGTCCCCGCTTTGGGACCAGGTGCAGCTGTGAGCAAAATGGGCACAGGTCCCTGTTTTAGGGAAGGGGTCCAGGGTCCCTGACATTCTGCATACCTGGCTGAGTCAAGGACTGGTATCCGGATGCCACGTTGCATGGAGTTGGGCAGATAAACCTATGGGTGGACCGGACCAGGGGACAGCGGTCAGCTGCTGTGGTGATGGCCCTCAACTCAGGAATCTGAGGGACAACCCTAGGAAGGCCAGCCAGTGCAGCACCTGCTCCATTTTGGGCCATGGATTGGGGGCCCCCGTGACCAGCTAGGGCCCCTTGGGAAACAGCCCCTGGTCCAGCTGTGTTTTCACATCACTCTCTGAGCCCCCCAGTCCTGACAGGCCCACCCAGATTCGTCTGACCCATCTGCCCATCTTCCTGAGGTGTGAGTCCGGCCTGAGAGCCCACTCGGGGGAGGGGGTGGTGCTTGGCGCTCCAGGTAGGTGCTGTCACATGCCCAGGGACCCGCCCTCAGAGCACGGCACGGTCTTCCATGGTGTCACTGAGGTCACTGCCAGTTAACCAGTTTTGTCCTTCCTCATTGACAGAAGGACATGGCCCTGAAGCCACATGAGCGGAAGGAGAAATGGGAACGTCGCCTTGCCAAGAAGCCCCGCGAGTCAGAAAACTGCCCGTCTGCAGAACCAAGTGAGAATGGGCGTCCCCTGGAGATCGTCAGTCCTGAGCAGGACCTGGAGCCTGCCTGCGACCGGGGGAAGAAGAAGGTCCCACTGCAGCCCACCAAGCAGGTGAGCACTGGGCCCTGCCCCACTCAGAGCCATGGGCTCTGTGCCCTCTCCCTTGGGTGCCCTCAGGGCCACACCAGCACCTGGACACCACCGTTGGCATCTGGGCCTGCCTGGCAACGTGCTCCATCGTTGTTGGGCGTGGGGTATGGGGCACATGTGGACTGGGGCCCGAGGCAGCTGCTCGCCGTGAGCCCAGGTCCTGAGCAGACAGGAGACCTTCCCCCAGTGGGTCACACAGCCAGAGAAGCCAAGCTGGGAGCCCAGGGATTGGGGGTGGGGGAGTGTGTACTTGGGGCAGGAGGGTGCACCTGCTGATAGGCTGGCCCCGTTTCCCCATTGCGTCTGTCAGGCTCCGCCGACCACGGGGTGTCCAGGGTGTCTGTAATGCGTGGGGGCCAGGTTCAGCACTGGGTGTTCTCCATCTGCTAATCTTCTGTAGGATACAGCATATCTGTGAGGGGGGGGTGTCACGTGACTTGTGGTCAGGGGCCCCGGTGCAGGGAGCAGCCCCGCCCAGGGGCCTCCCTCCACAGCAGCTGGGACACGGGCCCTTGGTGGGAGGGGCATCCTTGCTGTCACCAGAGCCCAGCTGGGGTAGGGTGGGGAGACTGGGACTGGGGGGCCCGCTCCCAGAGTGTGGGGCTCTATCCCAGGTGCCGGCTCAGCCCTGCAGCTGCTTTCCTCCTCAGGGACTTACTGGTTTGCGCCTTCTTTTCAGAGAGGGGTTCTTCTTGGTGTTTCTCACACTCCACTTTCAACTCCCTTGGGGATTGGGCTGCTGGTGAGGGGGCAGCATGTCTCAGGGGCCCGGGCTGGTTGGGGGGTCTGCAGGCACACCTGCCCAGGTGGACACGTGCTCTTTCTTCCATGCAGGTGTGCTCCCCAGAAGGGGGGCCGCTCCCAGCCAACCACTGGGACCAGAACGGCCCGGCCCAGCACCAGCAGCAGCTCCAGCCCAGCCAGCCCCAGGGGTCACTCCCAGCCCCGTGTCAGCGCTGCCAGCCCCGTCGGGCTCTCCCGGACCCCGGGCAGCCCTGCCAGCCCCAGCGGCCACTCCCGGGTCAGCGCAGCTGGCCCCAGCGGTCACTTCTGGGCCCAAGACAGCCCTGCCAGCCCCGGCGGTCACTTCTGGGCCCAGGTCAGCCCTGCCGGCCCCAGCGGCTGCTTCCAGCCCCAGAGCAGCACTGCCGGCCCCAGCAGTCACTCCTGGCTCAGCCTTGCCGGCCACGTTGGGCGCTCCTAGGCCCTAGGCAGCGCTGCCGGCGCCTGCGCTCCCTCCTGGCCCCATGGCAGCGCTGCCGACCCCTGCGGTCCCTCCTGGCCCCGTGGCACCGCTGCCGACCCCTGCGCTCCCTCCTGGCCCCGTGCCACCTCTGCCGGCCGCTGCGCTCCCTCCTGGCCCTCTGGCACCGCTGCTGGCCCGTGCGGTCATGGGTGGCCCCCTGTCTCCGTGGCCAGCCCAGCAGGGCATCCTCAGGACAGCGGTGCCGGCCCCCACAGTCACTCCTCCTGCTGCGTCCACGCCGCCGACCCGCCAGCTCACTTTCAGGCCAGTGCTGCTGCCCCCGGCGTACTCTTTTAGCCCCTTGCCAGCCCCGGAGGTCCCTTCTGGGCCAGCCCAGCCACCCCCAGGGGTCACTGCTGGGCCTCAGTCAGCCCCAGCAATTAGTTGAAGCCCCAGAGCACCCTGGCCCCCCAAAACCTTCACTGCTGGGCCCTGGACAGCCATGCCAACAGAAGCGGCCACTCCTGGGCCCAGAACAGCCTCACCCGCCCAAGCGGCCACTCCTGGGCCCAGAACAGCCCTGCCGACGAAAGCGGCCACTTCTGGGCCCCGAGCAGCCCTGCCAGCCCCTGCAATCCCTTCTGGGTCCCAGCCAGCCCTGCAAACCCCAGCCGTTACTCCCCATCCCTGAGCGCCCGTCGCTCCTGGGCCGGCCAGCCCCGCCCCGTCGGCCCCTCCTGGGGCCCCCGAGCCAGCCGCGGCGGTCACTGCTGGACCTGGTGCGGGCCCGTCAGCCACAGCTCTCACTCCTGGCACTGGGCCGTCCCTGCAGGCCCCTGAGGTCACAACGGACTCGGTCTTCCACCCCTGCGGTAGCCCGCCAGGCCCCGTCTGTGAGTCCTGGGGCCTGATGCCCGTTTTCTAGGCCACCCTGGGTGTGGCTGTGCTGGGCAGATGTGCTGCCAGACTGGCCAGAGGCCTTCTCCAGACAGGCCGGGCTGTTTGCGGTCGGAAACTGAGGCTCAGCAGAGGCAGCCCCTGCAGGGCCGCTACCAGGCTGAGGCCCACCTGCACCAGGAAGAGAGGAGAGGACCCCCAGCATCTTCCCACCTCCCTGCCATGCCTGCCCCCATCGTGCCCGCTACTTTGGGATGTGCACGCTCCTAGGAGAGTGGACACGGCTGCCCCCAAGGGCTTGGGCTTATTGGAGGGGTTGCTCAGTGTCTCTCTGTGCCTCTGAAGTGCCCACATGTCCTTGTATGTCAGAGCCTGTGCATGCCCAGCCCGGGTGTGCGTACGTGTTGTGGGGGTGTGCCAGCGCAGGCCTCGCGCTCCTTGGGCCCTAACCCATTTGGCCAGTGTGCATTCCATGACCCTAGGCATAATGTGGGCTCAGCTGGAGCCAGGCCACAGGTCCCGCTCACCTTCCCTCTGGTGAAGGGCGATGATGCATGTGCATCTCCAGGGTTCTGTGAATGCAGGGAGGGGACACGGGGGGCACTCAGGGCTGTCTGTGGCCAAGTAGGAGCTGCTGGTGACAGGAGGGTGTCCCTCCCCACCCCCCCAACTCTGCCTCCACCCCTGTGGCTAGGCACTGAAGTGGAGGCAGAGTTTCCCATCCCCCCCAGCTCTGGACCAGGAGGGCCGGGGCCATTCTTGGAATGCCTCCTCCTGGCCTCCCACTCAGCCCGTGCAGCTTTCCAGCTGTTGGCACCCCAGCACGTTCCCTGTCGGGACAGACCTCACACTACAGGGCTTTTTCTGCCCTCCGCCCATCCCAGACCTGTGCTCAGGGGTTGCCTGTTCCTCACCCCAGATCCCTGGCTCAGGGCAGTCCCACACTGGTGCTCCTGGAGTCCTGGGCATAAGGCAAGAGCTCAGCTCTGACCCTCCAGAATTCGAGGGTCTCTGGGGAGGGGGCTGCAGCCCCTTCTGGACAGCCGCATCAGCTAGCTGGGGGTGCCCTGGCTGGGCTCCTGGCAGCCCTTTGTGTGCCTAGTGTCACTGAGCCGCGACGGCCACTCTAGTGCTGACCCTGTTCGTGGAGGCTTGGAGGTGCCCCCCCGCCCACACCATTTGCTCATGAGGACACTGGCCCTCTGGGGTCCCCACTGGCTGGGTGTGGGGGCCGCCCAACGCCCAGAGCAGGGCTTACGGGCATCTGGTCCTCACCCAGTGTCTCCCAGAAACGCGGGGCTTATTTTTCCGATTAAAGAAAATAAAAAGTGCCGTGCCATTATTTTTATGACAGCATCAGCGAGTGTGTGTCATACGTGGAGTGATTTATTCCGACAAGTGGTTTTCTGCGCATCTGGACTTGCCGCCTGTTCGCTGCATTCCTCCCGAGCATCGGGAAAGCAGCCTGGGGAGGGGGCACCCAGGGAGGGGTGCACGGCCTGGACACGGCTCACCGTGCTGTGTGGTGTGCGTTCGGGGGGCCGCGCTCGCCATAGTCAGACCGTACTGCCGTGTCCATTGAAGCCACTGCTCGGGAAGGGGCCTCTCTCTGGCTGCTGCAGGAGGCGCCTCTGAGACTAGCGACGGGCTCCAGGTGTGCCCACCGTCCCCTCCCTCCCCCTGACCTGAGGGCGGCAGTGCTGGGATCTCTGCCTTCTGGGTCCTGTGCAGGTGCGTGGGCCGGCCAGGCAGGTGTGGACTGGCGCAGCGGCTGCATTCCTAGGCCCTTCTGCTCTGGGAGCGTGGCCCTGGCACTTGAGTGCCTACGTGGGGGAGACAGAATTGACAGGTCAGCGGGAGAGGGTGGGAGACTGCAGCCCCCCGTGCCGGGCCTACCCCTTCCCCCTCCAGAACGGCCCTATTGGGAGCGAGCCCCATGATGCCCTTGGGCCCCCGCTGTTCCTTGCCTGCTTCCTTGCCTAGCCATCTGAGCCCAGAGGGGTCCCCTGGGGCCACAGCTGGCCTTGGGTTCAAAGTGACAGGAGGGGGGGGGGAGGCACCGGCTGCGGGGGGGGGGGGGGGGGGGGGGTGGCCAGACCACATGTGCCACGTCCTGGGGGCCGCTGCCGCCCTCATTGCCGTGAGGGGACAAGGGTCCTGTGTGGGCAGATCTTGGGGGTTTCTGAGAGCAGCTGGTAATGTGGGGTTTTTTTGTGGATTTGGAGACTTTGAAATGTTGGTGGCTCATTCCAATGTCATGAACCACCTTGCTGGCCAAAGGACACAGCTGTAGGGGCCCTGCATGGCCTGGGGGGTAGAGGTTTGGACCCTGGCAGCCTACGTGGCCCCAAGGTCAGAGGGGTGGGGTGTGACCCGCCCCGTCGTGGGGAGAATGGGGGCAGCCTGGCCTGAAGATTGGGGGTAGGTTGAGTCCTTGGGGGTGCTGTGGGTCTGAGGGGGGCCCAGGGTTGCTCCAGGGGACCCCCTGGATGGAGACAGGAGCCTGGGTGCAGTGCTCTGCTGGGGTCTCCCTTCAAGCCCTATCTCCCGCCCCGCGTAAGCACCCTGCCTCCACCTCCCCGTCTGCGGATGGGGCCCTGAGGAGGAGACCATGCCTGGTCCCTGCTAGGCCGGCGAGGAGCAAGGGCAATGATGGTGGGTGTGGCTGTTTGCGGGGAGGGAGGAGAGCCCTCAGGGCGCACCTGGTGGAAGGTGCGATAGCCCTGGGAGGGGAGGGCCCTGAGCATGGGGACAGCCTATGCGGGCCTCACCCAGCGCTTGTCTGGGACACCCCGTCCAGGATTCCTGGGAGGAGCCTGTCTGCGACGTGTACACATCCGTGCGTGTGCGCGTCTGTGTGTGCTGCTGAGATGGCAGT